ACATGATTTAAAAATGTGATATCCATGTATTGAACATTATCACTGAGAAATTTGATTATCAACCTATGTAAGTTTTACAGAAAATATAACATAATTTCTTGAAGCAGAAAGTTTTATGAAAAACAAGTCTACAATGTAAATAAAATTAGAACCTAACTTTTAAGAAATTATCTTCAAAACTCATGCCACAAAAATTAAGGAATATAGTACTGGATAGAAAAAGAAATTATAGTAGCTTTTATATATTATTATTGCTGCTAAAATCTTCACATTACTTTTTCACTATGACAAATTAATACATCCTAAAGGGTCAGAATGGCAAAGTTTAGACTTTAAAGCAAACTATTTATTTCCAATTCATACTAGTAATAGATAGTTTTTTAAAAGAAATTAAAACAAGTTTAGCCAAGCTCAAACACAAAATAAACCTCGTAGAGGACCTAAACTGGAACAGAACCATAAAGTGCTAAGTGAAGCTAAAGTCACAGGCTTGTTTAGCAAGAGGTCTGTGAGCAGGTAATTGGAGTCCAATTCCTGAGGTTAAGTGTTGGGCCTGTAGAAGGTGGGCAACCTCGAAAAATCCTAATGTAACCTGTAACTGAATCAACCCACAAGCTAGTTTACTGATTAGTCAGACATACACTCAATATTAGTGCAGTCCAGGCATCATTCTGGACCAAGGGCCTTGAAAAAGTATACAGAGACAACAATAAAAGCAACAGAGAATATCAGCTGAGCACAGAGAGAAAAATTTATATACCAAAACAGAAAATACAAGAGAAAACATTTTTCTCTAGAAATGAGCTTGCAAAATAAAACTCCAAAACACAGGAAATCTAATACTCAAAAAGACAGCAAAACAAAAACAAAAACAAAACTGAAACATATATTTGCTTCAAATGAGATCAGTGTTATGAAATGTACTGGAAAAAATGTATATTTATGATATAAAAGTGAAATGGAAGAAATGACATTTATAAAAGTGACCAAGAAGCTACAGAAGAAAAAAGCAATAATAAAGTTAATAAATAAAAAAGAATTTATAGAAATATTAGAAAAAGTATAATAGTTAATTTAAAATGCACTAGGGACAAAATTTTGGGATTGGTTGAGTAAGGATCACTGAAAATAATCCTCTTTCAAAAAAGCAAAAGAACTTCAGAAATAACCAAAAGTTTGTGATAATCCATTTTGTCCCCCCCCCACCCAGGAAAATGGCTACATTTCAGTGAGAATGGTGAGCTTCCTGGCATTTTTACATGTCTTGTTCTCATTTGTCCCTCTCCAGCTCCACAATAGTCTCGAAAGTCAGCAGTCTGGCAATCATGGTGACTATGAAAACCAGCAGTACAGCAGTCACTGGAGGGGGCATATCATGTGTGGAGAGCCTCAGAAAACTTCATCCTCACAGAATTGTCAATATTTGATCTGCCTCTCAGCCCCCTGGAAAGTACCATTTACTGAGCTTGTCATTATTTGGGAAATTTACAAATATGTGGGAATTAAACAATACACTTTTAAATAATTAATGGGTCAAGGAAGAAAGTAATGAAAGTAATGATGATGGGTTCCTCTAAAAACTGCTGGCTAATTAGGTGTGGATGATGCCATTGTAACAGATTGGAAGATGATCACAGAAGTATACAAGGATTCTGTACTCTACATACTCTGCAAATTTCTAAATTATTTCCATACTTCAAATAAATTACTGTAAATCATAGTTGAAGCATTATAGGTGTAGTTTATGCAAAGAAAAAGATTAAAATGTAATTTAAAAAGAATAAAATGTAATTTTATTTACATCGTAGACTTGTTTTTTATAAAATTTTCTACTTCAAGAAATTATGTTATATTTTCTGTAAAACTTACATAGGTTGAAAATCAAATTTCTCAGTGATAGTGTTCAATACATGGATATCATTTTTTTTTTTTTTTTTTTTGAGTTGGAGTCTTACTCTGTCACCCAGACTGGAGTGCAGTGGCCGTTTCCAGCCACC